AACTTGGCTATTGATCGTAGGCTTGGTAGGCATTTACCCCACCAACTACCTTTAAACAAAATAAATCGAATCTTATAGCAGAAAATTTCTCTTTTTTGAATAAATAGCTAATTTATCTTTTACTTTCCTTATTATTTTTAAATATAACCCTAAATGATATTTAGAGAAGAGCGCTTAATCCCTTTTTTGTTTATATTTTTTAATAAGTATCTCTAATTAGAATAATTATTGAAATAAAATTATCTCCTTTTTAAGGATTCTATAAGGTATCTAATTTAAAATACTCACCTTTACACCTTATTCTTATTTTTTATCTACTTAGATAAACTGTAGGAACAATGATTCGCATGTCTTAAAACTACTGAAAAACGTTCAATCAGAACCAAAATTAAATTCATATAGATTTTTAAACAATTTTTACCTTTATCTCCTTTCTCCCCCTCTCCTAAAGGAGGTAGGGACTCCTATCTTCGATAGGAGAGAGAGAGAGAGAGAGAGGGATGAATTGTCGTATTTTATTTGCTATTTGCAATATTTATTATCTCTTTTAAATGTTTTTACTCTAATTATTTTTTTGATGTTTATTACAATATTGTCATCGATACTTTTATAGATTTTTATTTTTTGTTTTTCTTTTTGTTTATTTATTTTTTTGTTTTTTGTTTATTGATTAAATTAATATTTAATTAATTTTTATAAATTTTGATATTTGGATATTTTTAATATTTTTATATTTTTATATTTTTCCTCTCCCGTTACTCTCTACCTCCTGTCTCCCTCCCTAGGAGAAAGGAGGTAGGAGACAGGAGGTAGGAGACAGGAGGTAGGAGACAGGAGATAGGAGGGACCCCTCCTTTATACTATCCTTTAGGGGAGACTCCTAGGTCCTATCTCCTTCCCCTCCCTAGGGACTCCTTACTCCGTTAGGAGAGGAGAGGGATAGGGCGGGGAAGGAGAGGGAGGGGGAGGGATAAGGAGAGAAGATAGGGAGGGGAAAAGGGTAAAGGATATTGCTTAGAAATATTAGAATATATTTCATTTTATTATTTATTAATAAAAACTAAATATTCAACAATAATTGAGTTAGATATTATCTATAGGACTAATTTTGTAATAACTAGATATAATATATATCTACTTTCTTGATAGAAAGTGGAAATATATTGTAGTTTACTGAATTTTTTCTAAAAATTAATAAGTTGAATATAGGTATTATTTTAAAAAACTTCTCTCCCTCTCCTTACGGAGGTAGGGACACCTTCAAAAAAAGATAAATAATAAACATACTTAAGTGTTAGATATTTATTGTATTTATTTTAAATAAATATAAAGTTTAAAGTTAAAATTTTCTTAAATTTTTACCACAAATTTATTTTGTTCTATATAAAGATATATTTTTTAATAACCTAGAACCTTCACTTAATTCATTAAATTTTTAATAAATAATATAAATAAATTTAAGAATTACAGTTTTAGATATCTTAACTCTCTTTTAAGCTACTCCTTCTAGATAATTTAAGTGCTAGTACACGATAATAGCCGAAAAAAGGAATCGAACCTTCTTTTTACCGTCATGAGTGGTATGTTTTAACCCTTTAAACTATTTCAGCTAAAATATAAAACAAACAATTTGATTACTTCAATTTATAACTTAATATTATATACTTTAAAAGTAATATTTACTAAATATTTATACCACCCTCTCCCTCCCCTCTCGCCCTTCTCCTTACTCCTACCTCCTAAGGAGGTAGGAGACAGGAGTCCCTACCTCCTAAAGGAGAGGGAGAGTACGGGGGAGGGGTAAGGAAGAAAAACAAAAATATTAAGAAATATGTTTTATTTTAATAGCGAAATCAGGAATCGAACCAAAACTAACAGATCATGAAGCTGTTGTGCTTATCCTTTACACTATATCGCTTTAATTTATTTTTATTACACTATCTTTGAAACAAGATTACGAAAAAAAAGAGACTCGAACTCTTAAATATAAGTTAAAAAATGAAATATTTTACATCTTATTATTTTATAACTTATATGTTCCTATTAACATTCGCTTAAAAAAACAAAAAAAAAAAAAAACAAAAAACAAAAAAAACAAAAATATCCCTCCTCCCCCTCCCTCTCCCTCTCCTCCTTAGTCCCTCTCCTACCTCCGTAAGGAGAGGACTAAGGAGAGGGAGAGACAGGAGAGGATACGGGAGTAAGGAGAGAGAGGGAGAGAGGGCTTAGTAACTAGGGATATTTTAAATAAAAAATTTTTATTAACAATCTTTAACATCAAGTTTCTTTATAAATTAGTACTACTAAACTAAATATTTTACAATATGTTTCATTTGTAGCCTATCTAGAAATGTTCTATTTCTTAATTAATGATATTTTTTTTAATTTATACTTAAAAATTAAGCAGAAGCTTAAAATAAATAATCATTTTTAAAGTATCTAGGGGTTAGATTCTTGCTTTATAGACATTCAGCACTTATCTATTATGTTTGTGGCTACCCAACTATGCGTTCATATTTTGTGACCTTTTATCATAACCTTATTTACAGGTATTTAAATTAAAGAACTTTTTTAGCCTTAAGTTCAAAAGGATTTTCCCCAATTAGATCCTCAATAGAGGTTTGAGTTCCTAACAAAATATTACAAACAATTGGTACACTAGAGAAACACAGCCTATTGATCCTTTCGTACTAGAAGGTCTGCCCCTTTTTA